CAATTTGCGCGCACCTCGACTAATTTCACGGGGCTCTGAAATTTACGGCCGAGTACTCACCTGCCAAAATAATAATGATAAAAAGAGTTCTAATCATGCTATGTTGTCATGGAGGTTTCGACACCCTCTTTGACAACACATTCATAGTAGGGGGTGGGGGAGATTTTTTGACAATTTTTATCCACGCGGTTCCCACGCGAGCATATGAGTGTAGGGGCCTGTTTGGTAGGAATTCTAATTTTCTACAGTAAATCAATTCTCATTTTCAACCACACATTCCTCAATAAAATAATATTTTCCATCACATCAATAATTTTTCCTTCTTTTTCAACCACACATTTTCCATCAATATACTATTCTAGAATACATCCTTCCAAAATAATGTGGTTCAAACACANTTACAGTACATTAATTCTCATTTTCAACAACATATTTTTCAATAAAATAATATTTTTCATCATATCAATAATTTTTTCTTCTTTTTCAACCACACATTTCCCATCATATCATTATTCAAAATCAATTCTTTTCGCAAAAAATCCATACCAAACAAGCTTTAGATCAATTAAGTGGGCAAGTTTTTTCTAGCAACTCAACTTAACTCAAAAAGTTCCAAGGACCAATAATTTTTTTCTTATACAGATTTCCATTTTAGTCCTTGTTTCCAAACATAAAAGCGTACCAAGTCCAAGTTGTATACCAAAGGGCAAAATCGACCAAACATCAGACCACCCCCCCCCCCGCCCACCCCCCAAAATTATCTTCACCGTGACTTATATTCCGAACACCGCAACCTCAAGCCCTAATCCTCTCCATATTGCTGTATCAGACGCACTGTCATACACCGAAACGATGTCGCATTTCGGAAGATCTGGGCCGCCGGATATCAGAGACACCTTTTCTCTTCTCGTTCTCAACATCACTTTCCGTAAGTACTTCTCCCTTTTACCCTTATTTTCGCCTATTTTCTGGGTTTTTTGATGCTAATTGAAGGGGGCACATTTAAATTTTTCTTTGATGTTTTAATTTTTCTTTGGTTTTTGTTGGCCTGTTGTCCCTGTTGATATGTTTTACAGGTACGACTGCTGATGACTTGTTCCCCCTCTTCGATAAGTATGGAAAAGTTGTTGATGTTTTCATCCCGAGAGACCGAAGGTATATGCAATAAATAAACTTTATGATTTTTCCTATATCCACGGTAAATTGTAATATTCGTGCTTTTGATTTTTTGTAATTTTGTGGTGTTATATTTTGTTGTTTATCTTTTTAGGTGCTATGTGCTTTACTTTTTCGATTTTCCACATGTATGATTACATTTGTGTATTTATTTTAGTCTTAAATCCTACTTTTCTCCCCCTCCCACCTATCTCTATTTATACATATATGTAGATGTAAATTTAAATATGTGAAAATTGAGGTTTCTCCTGACTATTTTGTTTTACATTGGCATTGAATGTTTCTTTTGAGCT